GCAGCCGGCGCCGTCCCTGCCGGGAACACACGGTTTTCTCAGAAACAGGAAAGTGAGCAGGTGACCGGCTGACCCTGCCCCCTCCTTTCAACCAGTTTGGAAACTGTAGGAGGCGTTTGGATACTGAGCTGCAGTTGCTTTCGCTGCTTCTCTTTAAGCAGCCACGGCTCTCCCTCCCGGATTCTGAAGTCCAAAGGCCTCTGAGAGGTGCCGAGGGCCGTCGGAGCCCCCCCACCCCCACCCTAGGGAACTGCTGGGAGCCACTCACCCAGTGGCCAGCCGCCTCCTGGGACAATGGGGTCTGAGGTGATGCCTGGGCATCTTTTTTTTTTGTCTCTCGGGGACGCTGAGGGGGCAGTGGGTGCCCACGCTGCCTCGTGGCCCCCACGACTCTGGGAGTGTCACTGCGTGTCTTCACTATTCACTGTCCCCAAGGTAGGCCATCTCGCGCTGGGACGCTGTGGACATGGGAGCCCTGCAGGGCTGAGGGGCTGAGCATGTGAGCTTAGACAACAGCGTAGGCAGCTCCACGGCCCGCAGGGGCAGCGTGGGAGCGCGCTCTGCCCGTGTAGGGCCCCTGGCCTGGCCTGGCCTGCTCGCCGCTTTCAGGGCCCAGCGAGGGGACAGCAGTTCTGGGTTCGGCCCATCCACAGGCTCAGGGGCGTGCAGACACCTCCCTCTGCCTGGGGAGGAGGCTGCTGCCTGGGATTCGCCGGACCTCTCTCCTGTGCGTGGCGAAGGCCATGTGCGCCTCCGTCTTTACATTGTGCCGCATGCATTCGCCGCCTGCCCCGCCAGGAAACTGAGCTGCCCGCGCCTCAGGCAGTGTGGGCCTGCGGTTAATTCTCCCTCTGGATTCTGGGTCCCAGGGAAGCCGCTCATGGTCCTTAAGTGCCAGTGGAGACCGCGGTGGGGACCGCCCTGCGGCTGGCGGGGTTTCTCGCCGCCGTTTGGTCGGACAGAGGGTCGCTTTGCTCTGAAGGCGCAGCGAGCGGACAGCTCTCCGACTGGAACGAACGGGCCGCGCGTCTTCAGTCTTTTGTGAACTGATCAGGAAACGCGGAAATGAACCCCTGCCCTCTCGCTTCCA